AAATTCAACCAAAGACTGTTCTACCTACGAATCCATGAGCATGAGCACGGCCAAATCCTGTATAAGAAATTCAACCAAAGACTGTTCTACCTACGAATCCATGAGCATGAGCACGGCCAAATCCTGTATAAGAAATTCAACCAAAGACTGTTCTACCTCAAAAAACTGTACAATTTTGGCGTAAACAAGCAAGTCGTTAACTTATTATATAGTGCAACTATTGGAAACCTGCTTAATTTCAGTATTACCAGCTGGTGTGGAAATTCAACGTCTGATATTAAACACCGCATAAACCGACTAATCAAGAAAGCTAGAAACATAACACAAACTAAACATCCTTCACTTGAAGAACTATTTGAAGAAAGATGTTTTTGCCAAACTAAACACATTTTGGATGATACATCCCACCCTCTTCATCATAGATACTTAGGATCGGGCCGTTTGGGACGAATTCTTTCCATCAGGGCGAGGACTGACCGATATAAAAATTCTTTTGTTCCCCAATCTGTACGAATTTACCGGCGTGCTTCCTCTGAAGTCACACATCTGAATGAGAACTAATAAGTCCCCGATTTTGCTAAGAGAACTCACTGAATGGCTGTTTGAAATAATTTATTATAAATGTCTTGCGTTCAAATTGTTTTATTTTTGTGCTGAAAATGTGTAATGCAATCAAAAAACATTTCCATTAATTTGGATCTATAAAAGAATCGTATTTTATCTTATCTTATATGTAGAAAAATCTTCTACTCAGGCAAAAAATCCTACAGCGAATCTATTTCAAAATACTATCCTCCCAGTCACTCGCTCTATCGCACACACTGCTTCTCGAAATTCCTAGTTCACTCTCGCTCAAAATCTTTGGCTCTCCTTTTATCCCCCCCCCCCTTTTTAAAATTGACGCGTCACGCGTAAATGACTTGACACCAGTTCACACTCGTTCACATAACCCACAACATCACAACGTCACAACATCACAACGTCACAACGTCACAGCGTCACAACAGACACATTCTCTCTGATTTCATGACCTTGACATTTCTCTCCCCCCCCCCTCCCCACTTTCCTTTTCCAGATTCTACTTACAGTAGAATCGATCTAATTATGGTCAGGTCATGAAATCATATACGTTTTGGATAAAATATTCTATTAAGGAAATAACAAATGTCAACAACGTTAATTCTTGTGGACTACCATAAATTATCCAGCCTGCTTTTAACCTCATGAGGGCGAGATTTTCCGCTTGTCAGACTTTTACCTGAAAGCGAGCACATTTTTCCACCATTTCAAAAAAAACTGTAAAATATCACGTCTTTCATCACACTTGTCACAAAGCCCACCCCTAAAAGCAACATGTATTTAACATTGCACAACAAATCTTCACACACAGTCTAACCCAAATGTTCATGTAACTTATCAAAATAAATTTTACAAGCCTCATCAGAAAATAGTGATTACATGGCAATTGGGAAAATAATAAGAATTAATTTAGGTGGAATAGTAAGAAGAAGACTTTGGAGGAACTAAATGAGGATAAAGTAGAAACAGAGAGGCCATTAGTAAAAGTTAGAGGGAATGAGCTTAGGAACAGTGGTAAACATCGGCAGCAGCAGCGGGGTACATGAATACAAAAACAGCAGGGTATCTCAACTGACGTACTTGGTGGCAGGCAGTACGCAAACTCCGGGACACAGACACGGTACAAAAACTCCCACAGGCCTTGATACAATCCAATAATCACTTTTGCACGATGATTCGTCTCAGGAACAAAAATGTCACTCTACGGTTCTTCGAATACCATGAAAATTTTCCAGTGAATCTAACACAAGGTACATGGCCGTTAATTTTTATGACATCTCTAGTTTTAGAAACGCCCCCATGTCAAATATTTGTCCTCATGGCAAAACGTTTGTTGTCTAGAAGTCGTATGATGCTGTTGACTCTTTCGATTGCTGGTACTCCTTGATCATACGGACTGTCCGATATCACCAACACTAAAGCTTAACAGTTCATAATGCGTTTTATTTCGACAGCACTAAATCATCCATCTGGTTCGCAGTTAAGTTGAGACATGTATCCATTATGTAGAACAATCTTCTGCTCAGGCAAAACATCTCACAGCGAATCCTTCCAGTCACTCACTC